TGGAATGCCTGAGATGGTGTGAAATTTTTTAACCCCATGTAACAAACACATGGAAGACACTGCCTGTGTGCAAAGCTTGGCCCTAGGAGCTATGGACAGAGAACAGAAGAAGGGAGCCGACAGTTCTGCAGACTCCCAGGGGCCGAGTGATAGGCCAAGCATTTTGTGTATCTGGAAAGTGAGCCTCAAGGGAGACAAACACCCTGCTCAATGCCTCAGGACCAAGGAGTGGCAGAAGAAGGACCGGATCCTAGATCTACCCAACCCCAATGCCCCTTTCACAAATCCTATTGCCAAGGCAGAATCTCTGTCCTCAAAGAGCTTCTCACCCAGCAGGGGCAGGACAGACGTGTAGATAATTGTATCCAGAGACAGAACGCTAAACACCACTACACAAATGAAAGATCAAGCACCATGGGGTTACCAAGAGAACAAGGAGAGACAGACTGTAGTGAGGATCCAGAAAGGCTCCTGGAGGCAGCCGGTGTTTGGAGCACAGTTGGAGGGTGGGTGAAATGTTGGCAAGTGACATTGGGTGGGGGGTGGGGGAGGTGCTCTCCTGGCAGAAGGAACAGCAGGAGCAAACGTTGTGTCTGGGAACCTGAGATGCAATGGGGGACTGGACTGTGCATGTAAAGCAGTGTGGGGAACCCGGTCCAGGCCTTGAGACCAGAGTCATGCATCTGACTGTGCTTAATTCAGATGCAATGCTAGTTACACGGAACTGCAAATACTGAGCATAAACCCCAGCTTAGCCTGGCTCTTCATGAAAACAGTCCTCTTCATCATCATCATCTTCATCACAGAAGGTGTCAGAGGAGAAAGGAGAAGGAAATGATGGGAGCCTTCTTTAAATTCCACTGGGTTCAGCTCTTACATTTGACTTCCAGGTAAACTGTGATCCAGAGAGAGAATCCAAAAGTAGATGCAAGCTTCCCAGCCCCCAGGCTGGCATGCTGTCACTGCACTAAACTCAAATTCCTTGCAAACTTGATCATGTTCTAAGGGTCTCCTGTCTGAGCTATTCAAATGTTTGTGTTTAAATCCAGAGTCAAGGGCTGGCTCTTAGCTGACATAGCTGCCTCTGTGCTTTTGCAAGATTATGCTGCTTCTCTTTATCAATATCTGTCCCCCACCTCAGCTGCCAGTGGCTGGAGCCCAAAGAACACACACAGGGGTCCAAGACCTGGCGTGTTCCAGGGTGTCCCTGCAGCTACATGGCTGCTGCCCACTGAGCCTGGGGCCAGGCTGGGGCTGGGCTGCCGACCCGAGGGCATTGCTACCTTGGCTTCCCTTCCCGCCCAAGGAATGAGGTGTCTGCTCAAAGAGCAAGAGTTACCAAAGCTGGACACCGGGAGGAGATCAGATGTTAAATTTCTTCTTTTTCTTTTCAAAACCAACAAGGTTCTAATAGCATCAGGAGTTTAAAGTCTCAGATGTGCTGTCAGAAGGGAGGCAGACCTGTGCTCCAGCCCTGGCTCTGTTACTGACTTGCTGTGTGACCCAGGGCAGGCAACTGAACCTCAGTGTCTACTGTGAAAAAGTGGGGACGACAACACTTGCTGTGCAGGGTTGAGGATGACATAGTGTATGAAAAAGGGTCTGGCTCATTACTGGGCACAGAATGGAGGTCCCATCACTGTTAGAGCTTCATTACCATATAGCTGGAAAAATGAAGCCAACCCACCCCAAACCTAACTATGCTAGACTATGCAAAGTTTATCATCATTTCCAAACATATGGCATAAAATGACATATTCTTGTAATGTTTAACCATTCTAATTACACGTCTTTCCAAAACAAAGCCACCTGCTATGGGTTCTGATCCATTTAAACTGCTTTATTAAAAGCCACTCTTATGCCGGACTCTACACGTGATGATGGAGAAGATGATGAAAAACACAGATGTGGGGTCTGCTTGCAGGAAGGTTAGGTTTTAGTAGAGAAGACAGAAAATAATAATAACGATAAACAAGCCAATGGACAAACAAATAAAGCTGGGGTAGTTGTTGTGGAGGAAAAACAGGGGCTGAGAAGGAGTTTGGGGGCTTTTAGCTAGGGAAGTCCTTGATGGCATCTCTGAGATGACATGAGTTGAAACCTAAAAAATAAGAAGACATCAGTCTCATAAAGAGCGAGGGAAAAGCATTCCAGTCAGGGGAACAACACATACAAAGGCCCTGAGGTAGGAAAAAGCATGTTCAAGAAACCAAAAGGCCAGTGTGACTGGAGAGCAGCATCCAAATGAGGATGGGACAGGACGAGGTTCACGCACAGCATGAAGCTACAGTAAGGAGCTTGGATTGGATTCTAGAGGCCTTGGAAAGCCGCTGACAGGTTTTAGGTAAAGACATGGCAAAACCTAATTTAAGTTTTCAGAATGGCTTGGAGTGGGGTGAGAGAAAATGCAGAAAAACCAGAAAGAAAGTTATTGTAGTAGTCAAAATGGGAGATGGGGGTGGCCTGGCCAAGGTGGGTGGGGGCGAAGAAAGAGAGGAAGGGTGGACTGTGGATGTCTTTGGTGGAATCACAGGAGGACTTGCTGAAGCTGGATGCACAGAGTGAGATTAAGGGAAGAGTGAAGGAGTTTCTGGCCTGAGAGAGTGGGAGGACGGTGGCGTGAGGGAGACAGGGGGCTGTGAGAGGAGAACCAAGCATTCTGCGTTAGGGTTAGTGGGCACTCAAGGGGAGGTGTGGAGTAGGTGCCTGGCTATATGCAGGTACGGAGCTGGATGGACAGTCTGGGCTGGGGCTGTCTAATGGACACTAGAGAGAAAAGAACAGAAGGCAGATCAAGGACAGAGCCCTGGGGCATCACAGCTTATGGAAGAAGGTACTTTTAAATGAGTGAGGAGGGAACTTAAATTCCTCGGACTGTGGATGTCTTTGCTGGAATCACAGGAGGACTTGCTGAGGCTGGATGCACAGAGTGAGATTAAGGGAAGAGTGAAGGAGTTTCTGGCCTGAGAGAGTGGGCGGACGGTGGTGTGAGGGAGACGGGGGGCTGTGAGAGGAGAACCAAGCATTCTGCGTTAGGGTTAGTGGGCACTCAAGGGGAGGTGTGGAGTAGGTGCCTGGCTATATGCAGGTACGGAGCTGGATGGACAGTCTGGGCTGGGGCTGTCTAATGGACACTAGAGAGAAAAGAACAGAAGGCAGATCAAAGACAGAGCCCTGGGGCATCACAGCTTATGGAAGAAGGTACTTTTAAATGAGTGAGGAGGGAACTTAAATTCCTTAGCATGGTATATGAGGTTTTCCAAAATTTGGTCTCACCAGGCTCATTTTTTAGACAGAGCCCTGGGGCATCACAGCTTATGGAAGAAGGTACTTTTAAATGAGTGAGGAGGGAATTTAAATTCCTTAGCATGGTATATGAGGTTTTCCAAAATTTGGTCTCACCAGGCTCATTTTTTACCACTGCCCACCTCCTCCTTACAAGTCGGCTGGTGTCACTCCAGCCCCAAGGAACTGTTTATGCCTCTCCCAATAGGCCATATTCTTTTGCATCCCTGATGCTGCCCCTCGGTCTAGAATGTTCTGTCATTTCTTCTGTGCTCATCCTTTAAGATCCATCCCAATTTTTCCCTCCCTTGGGAGACGTTCTTGCCTCTTCCCCACAGAGTTGGCCTCTCCATCCTCTGTTCTCTGCAACATTTTCTGCATGATCCTTAGAGCTCTTCTGTTACAGTGATTCCTTCCTCCACTAGACTGTGAGCTCCTACCCTGACTGATGTCTCAGGTAGGATTTTATAGCCTGCTTGGCACATAGTAGGACTGCTGTCCTGCCAGCCACAGCCACATGTACCCAGGCTATGTATTGGCTGTAAGCAAGTGTTGGCAGTACCTGCTGGAAGCTCTCACGCAGATGGCTCTGATCCTCAGGGTGGCAGAATTCCAAAATGTCCTTTCCCAGAAGATCCTAAATAAAACAGACAATGATAACCCCAAATTTAATAATCCCAAATTCCATTTCTAATTATTTTTATACTCACTGTTAGATAACAGTGTTCAATTACATCTCTTTCAACCCATCTCCTTTAGCCTGCCCCACAACAGATTAAAGAAACATGGATGCAAATTTTCCCTGGGAGCCACCATGGAGCTGGCTTCCTGGTATCCATCCTAAGTTCCTTTGGCATGCTCAATACCAATTTCTAAGGCATTAGATAAGCAGCTTCAGAATGCAATTTTATTTTTTGTTTGCCTTGGAGAGGCAAACTGTAATAAACATATTTTAATAAACATAAAAAGAAAGCAAAATGATAGCACAAGGACAGATGTGTTGCCTATGAAAACTGAAATTGTTTAAATGTGGAAACTGTAGCTCTCTTGTGGCTGCAGAAATGAGGTTACCATAAAGTAACTGTACTTGTTAAAAGCCTGTTTAATTACTAGTCTATGTTTTATTCAAAGGACCTAATATTAACCCAAAACAAAAGTGTTTTTCACAACAAAACAGACCAAAGAAGATAAACCGTCAAAACCCAACTTCATTTGTATCATAAGAAAGTGGTCCAGTTGGAAGTGCCTTAAACAGCAAAAGACTTAAACTAACTCATTGGTCAGAACCCAAATTAGCAAAGGGCCTAAGTGTGAGCTGACTCTGACAATGGAGGGGAAGTCTCATCTGCAGGCCAAGAAGCATCCAGATGCTCATGGAAGGTGCCAGTGGATGAATGGATTTGGCTGGAAATATATTGCCTGAGAAGCAATGGTGAATTTAAAAACAAACCAACTTTCCTCTTTATTCTGTCCAAGAATCTGAAAGTTTGCATGAATCTAGAGATGCAGAATTATGTGAAGGGTTCCAATATTCCCGGTTTCAAATGTTTCTAGTTCTAAAATATACATGTAATTAAAATACATACTCATGTCAACATATGCCAAACTTTGTTCTTCAGAACAGAGATCTTTTTCAACTTTTTAAAAAAATGCTTTTATTTTGAAAGAAATTTAAATCTATAGAAAAGTTGCAAGGATAGTACAATAAACAATTATATATTCTTCACACAGACTCAACGATTGCCAGTATTTTGCCATATTTGCATTTTCTTTCTTCATAGATATACACATGAATACTACATACATATGTATGTATATATTAACAATTTCTTGCTGAACCATTTAAAAGTAAGTTGCAGACACCATGACACTTCTCCCCAAAGTATCTTAGCATGTATCTCATGGAAATATGTTATCTCACCAAACACAACACACCATGCTGTACTCAAGAGAATCAATAATTATTTCATAAAATCACCCAATATTTGCATATTAACATTTCAGTGGTCTCACAAATGTCTTTTCTAGCTCTATGTTTTCAGGCTCAGGACACAGTTAAAGCTCTGACATTGCATATTGTTGTTTTATCTCTTTGGTTTATCTTAATTTGGGACAACCACTCCTGCCTTTTTGTGTTTCTCATGACACTGACTTTTTTGTTTTTTAGCACAGTCCTTTTTTTTTCAGCAGCTGGCCAGTATGGGGATCTGCACTATTGATCTTGATCTTGTTGTTATCAACACTGAACACCACGCTCTAACCGACTGAGCTAACCTAACTGGCCAGCGGTAGAACAAAAACCTGAAAATGTTACGCCTGTAAAAAGGGTTTCCAAACACAGCTGAGAAACAAGAGGCTAGGCAGAATTAAGTGGGTATCTTTACAAGACTTTGTAGAGTCTTTCACTTAATAAGCTTTGTAATAAAAATTAATTTATCGGAGAGCTCCTTTTTAGTAGACCATCTTAACTCTAGTTTGTGAAAAATCAGCTAGAGGAAAGAAAGGCCAGGGCAAAGAATGAAAAGTTAATTTTAAGAGGAGGAGTTGTTCGCCATGTCCTTCCTTGCTTTGGGAGGATACCACTCTAACCAGGCAGGGCACATGGGTCCTTATGCTGTTTCCCTACACTGTCATGGTGTTGTATCCTGAACAAATGAGACAAGTATGTTTTAAGGAAAGTTCAATCTCTAGGCAACTGCCATGAGCTCAAAACTATTTACTGACCTGGGGTTGGTAGCCAATCACACTGATACATCTTGGATCCACAAATGTGATGATTCCATCAGGGTTATGCCGGGATAAAAACTCTGTGGGCACCGACATCCCATTCATGTCCATGCACACGGGAGAGCTGGTCACCTTGAATGGGGAAAATCCAGGTGAGGTGGTGTTGACAGAGACAGTAGGAATAATCCATGTCGATTTAATTTCGCACATCCTTCCATGAGATTATACAATGAGTCTAAAGTATTCAATATCCCCACCATGTCTCTAACTGTAACAGTGGGGCACTTTCTTTATTTCAGGGCTTCAGTTTCCTTACCAGCCAATAGGAATAACGAAACTTACAATCTCACAGGGTGATTGTGAGGTTCAAAAGAGACACTGCATGTTAAACCTCAGCACAAGGCCTGGCAGGTAGCTGGTGCTCAATAAATGTTAACATTCTTCCCTTCTCCTGCCTTCCCTTTATTAAGGATGGCAAGTGGGCCTAAGGAACTGGATAAAATAATTGGAAAGTATACATTTGTGGACCAAATTCACCCAAATATTCTTTCTTCACCTATCTGCGAGGAGTACCCAGTGCTTTTCTATGTGAATGAAACTGCTTATTCATTTGTCTGAAAATGGTCAGACCTAGGAAATCAGGACACATGAGTGTCCTCCAAACATGTCTATCATGTCTCCCTCACCAGTATGGGGAAGACCCTCAGTGTCACGGGAGAACAAACAGTCCAGTTGATTGAGTGGTTATGGCGTGCCAGGCATTGTGCATATTTAATCCAGGGACATGAAAGATGAGTGTCCTCCAAACATGTCTATCATGTCTCCCTCACCAGTATGGGGAAGACCCTCAGTGTCACCGGAGAACAAACAGTCCAGTTGATTGAGTGGTTATGGCGTGCCAGGCATTGTGCATATTTAATTTTCACAAGACAAAAAGGACCCATCTCCCACCCTTGAGGAGCTTGCAGGGAACGAGCAGGTGCTCAGCTGACTGTACTGAAACAGACAGTGAGGGAATGACAGTGGGGAGGACTCAGTGCTGTGAGAGCAGGGAGGAGGGGATGATGAATTTGGACTGAGGAGACTGGGAAGTCATTTTATCTGGGTCTTGAAGGGTGAGTAGGTAGGAAGCACACAGGAAGAGAAGGAATTCTGAAGAAGAAGAACAGGGAAACACAAGACAGAAGAAACAGACCACGAACACCCACAGGGGTGGGGAAGTGCACGGTGGGTTTACGGAAAGGGCAACCATGTGGTCTGGGAATAGGATGTGGTGGGAAGGGAAGGAGATGCGGTTGTAACGATGAGTTTACACGTTATCCTGTAGACCCGGGGGAAGCATTCAAGGTGTGATGTGAGCAGAACTCGACTTTGCATAAGTGGCACAAGCACGGGGGGGTTGGACCAGTGCAACCCCTCAATGCAGCCAGAATTCTGTTGCTTATAGTTCACAGTCCCCTTGTCTTCTCCTAGATTTGACCTTAGCCTTGTCCCCCAGTGGGAGACACAGAAGCCACCAAATACTGAGTACATGGGAGATCAGAACAGGCATCCACAACTACAGTCTCTCACTCTTTCCAACCATAAGTCCTGATCTGAGATTTAAAAGGCTATGAGCTTTTACCTGGAGTCTCCCGATTGCCACAAGGCACTGGACCAGTGCAACCCCTCAATGCAGCCAGAATTCTGTTGCTTATAGTTCACAGTCCCCTTTTCTTCTCCTAGATTTGACCTTAGCCTTGTCCCCCAGTGGGAGACACAGAATCCACCAAATACTGAGTACATGGGAGATCAGAACAGGCATCCACAACTACAGTCTCTCGCTCTTTCCAACCATAAGCCCCTGATCTGAGATTTAAAAGGCTATGAGCTTTTACCTGGAGTCTCCCGATTGCCACAAGGCAATATTTACTGCCTTGTCCTACATCAGCATCTTCTTCAGGGATAGTCATTCCTGAAATGGGAAGAGCCAGTCATCAACAACATGCCCAAGATGAATGGAAAAGGTGGGAAAATGCCCATGATTTTACTTATGCAATCAAAAGCACAGATCCACTGTTGAAAACAGGTCAGGGCTGGCAAGCAAGCCACTGAATTAACCAGCCCCTCACTCATTTGCCGCTCCTCTCTGTACCTGGTGTCTTTTGGTAATTTCATGGGACATTATCATCCACATCTGTAGGACACGCAAAGGAAATTAAGGAAGGTGAAATGGAAATAATTCACCTATACCTTTGCACAAGTTAGCCAAAACATTTAGTTAGGAAAGAAATTTCAGTAAGAAGCCTATATGGGTCTTTCAGGGTATGTAAATATTTCACTTATCTGTTGACAAAGAATCAAACGAAGACCATTAGAAACAAAAGGAAAAACAAAAATAAGCAAATAAAACCCACCAAAGCAGAAGTTACTCACTTGCCAAGCAAGAGAACACAATTAGTGTTTTTCCCTGCTGTCGGGACATTCAGGGGTTTTCAAGGGCTAGGAAGGAGAAATTGGTGATGGTTATGCCAATTAAGCTCTGAAAACCAGTACTCCAAACAGGAAGGAATTGGTTAAAATAACCCTAATTGTTCATTAGTCAGAAAAAAGTCTTCTGTTTGGCCCAGTAAGGGTACGGCACCCGGGGTCCCTCCAGGTGCAAGCTTCTTGAATATCTGTAGCTGGTTAGAACTGTTGTAGTGAAAACAAGCTTTCTGTGTTGATACCTCCTGGGCAAGTGCTGTTAAGCAGAAAATTTCCTTTTACACTGCATAACACTTAACGTCAATATTTCCACACTAAGTCAGACTGGAGGTTCACAGGGACAGAATCACACAAGAACAGTGGCAACCCATCACTGTAGACTTTGAAGGGCTTTCAGACAGAGCATCACTGTGGTCCTAAGAGCCAGAGAAATGTCACTCCTTCCTCATCCCCACTGCACACTCCCCTCTTCTTTCCACCCCTGCCCCATCCACCTCCAGTAGGAAACCAATCCCTTTAGTCTCTGGTTTATCCTTGCTGAATTTCTTTTGCACACACAAGACACATGTGTAGTTTCCTATATCCTTTCCTTTGTTCTATGAAGAGCAATGTACTGGAGATACTCTTTTGGGCTTTGCTTATTGCACTTAACAGTATGTCCTGCAATTCACTCCATATTCATTCATAGAGCTCTTCCTCAAATCTCTTTTAGGAATGCATAGTGCCTCATTGCGTCAACGTGCCATGGTTTATTCAACCACTCTTGCATGTATGAACATTTAGGTGTTTCCAATATTTTGCAATTAGAAACAATGTTGCAATAAATAACCTTGTGCATATGTATTCTCCTATCATTGGTGGTGTATCTTCAGGGCAGATCCCTAGACGTGGGATTGCTGGGTCAAAAAGTAAGCACATGTGTAGTTTTGTTCTGCCAAGTTTCCCTCCAGAAGGACTGCACCAATTTGTGTTCCCACAGCAACGTATGGGAGGCCTGTTTCCCCACAGTCTTGGCCAACAGCATGTGTTGTCACATTATTTAATTTTCGTCAGTCTGGCAGGTGACAAATGATATTTTAGTGTTGTCTTTAATTTTCATTTCTCTAATTATGAGTGAGTTTGAACATTATTTTATATGTTTGAGGATCATTTTTATATCTTGTGTTTCATTGAATTGTCTGCTCATATCTCTTGCCCAGTTTTCTATTGGGATTTTGGTCTTTTGACTCAATTTTAAAGAAGTTCTCTATATATTAGGGATATTAAGCCTTTGTAGTCATGTTGTATGTTCTTCCATATGGTTCTGTCTTTTGGCTTTGCTTACGGTGATTTAAATTTTAAAAAATTTTTATGTAGTGACATTCATCAGCCTTTTATTTTATTACCTTTGGGGTCTGTCAGTTAGAAAGCCATTTCCCACACAAAGGTTAAAGAGAAATTCACCCTTGTTTTCCTCTGCTACTTTTATGGTTTCATTTTTTACATTTAGATCCCTGACCCATTCAGAATTATTCTTGTGTAGGGTGTGAGATATGAATCTAATTTAACCTTTTTCTAAATGGCTATCCAATTGCCCCACCAACATTTATTAAAAATGCAGTGATTTGAGACGTCACCTTTATCAAATGATAAAGTCCTAATTTTGACCTTTCTCTTCTCTTCCACTGGCCAATTGCCTATGCACCAGTACCACACCATTTTAATTACAGAGGCTTTATTGTATGTTTTAATGTCTAGCAGGACTATTTCTCTCTTGTAGGTTTTTTTTTTTTCCAGCATTTTCTTGGCTATCTTAAAGGTTTGTTTTCCCACACAAACTTTAGTATCAATTTGTCTAACTCCATAAAATAGTTTGATAACATTTTTATTAGGGTTGCATTGAATTTGTAAATTGACTTCAGGAGAACTGACATGTATATAATGTCGAGTTGTCCTAACCAAGAACAAGGGTTGCTTTCCCATTTGTTTAGCTTACTTTTGTGTTTTTCAGGTGTGTTATAAAATTTTCCTCATATATACTTGTACTTTTAATACTTATTAAAATTATTCTTAAGTATTTCATCTTCTTTGTTGCTACTGTAAATGGGGTTATACTGTTTATCATTTATGTATGTGAAGGCTATTGATTTTTGTATAGTAACATTGTATAGTGATACTTCACTGAATTATTGTTTGAGTTAGTTTTATCATTAATTTGCAATCTGAAAACAGAGACAGTTTTACTTCTTTTTCACATATTTTTTGCCTCTGATTTCTCTTAATTGTATGGGTTAATATCTCTATTACAATATTGAATAGTAGTAGAGATAGTGGGCATTCTTACCTTGTTTCTGTCTTAGTGGAAATATCTCAAGGGTTCCTTCATTAAATAAGATACCCTCTTTTGGCCTAACATATAACACACACACATAAATCATGTTAAGAAATTATCCCTCAGTTATTGTTTAGCATTTTTGCAAATCTCTTTAGTGCCTACTTAATATTGGACAGCTACATTCTAATACCTGCTCTGTCCTCAATCTGTTACAATATGTTGTTTTAGCTGACGCATATGCAAAAATATGGACTCACATATTTCTTCAAAAGAAAAGGGAGGGGGCCGGCCCGGTGGCGCACTGGATAGTGCGCCGCTTGGGAAGCGCGGCGGGGCTCCGCCCGAGGGTTCGGAACCCCCCTAC